GTTGTGATAGAGGGGTAGAGGCTCCAAACACAAAGTGACAATCTAATATGACTGGGCAGGAAAGGTGGAAGTCTAATAGTAGTTTGCAACTTAAATCCAGGATAGGCATGAACTACATAGAGACCTCAAAATCTTTAGTTCCCTCTGAATGCATAAAGTTCAAGCCCTGCCATGTTAGAGGGGCCTTATTATACCAAGATTTCTGTTCAGACTCCATCATGGCCATTCTCTAATTGTGGGTAATACTGAAGTAGACCAGCTTTCAGAAATATGTGGATGGGTTACTGCTCCTCTGGTGCTAAAAGGAAACAGCCCTTTTTGGAGGAAGAGATCGTCCAGCTCTTTCATAGTGTTTTATTCATAATCCAGTATTTTATTATGCAACTGACCAAAAACCTATAGGGGAGATCAGAGAACCAGCCACAGATGATTCACATGTTTCAGACGAGGACTTTAAATAATATGCTTATGATAGGAAGATGAATTTTATCAGAGGCATGGATACTGTACACCTTAAAAAATAAGAATTTAATTGTTAGGTTTATCAACAGAATAATATACCAAGGAGTGAAAGTTCAGTAGAAGTTATCCAGTGCTGAGACAAAATTGAAAGAAGAAAATGTGAGAAATCAGTTAAAATAAGCTAGGCCTCCTAGTGCATGCATGTAATCCAAGAACTTTGGAAGGCCAAGACATGAGTATTGTAAGGGGCCTAGTTTGAACAGATGTAGCAACTTTATGAAGCCCTGTCTCAAGATTAAAAAAAAAAAAGCCAGGGAGATGGCTTAGTAGAATAAGTGCTTGCCTGGCAAGTGCAAGGGCCTGAGTTCAAACCATGATTCCAAAAAGAAAAAAGAAAAGAAAAGAAAAAGGACCAGTTTTAATAAATAGAGCAATTTGTTCTAATGGTGTTTGTAAATAGGATATCATGTCCGCATCTTGTACAGCAATTAACCACTAGGAAGAATGTATGCAGTGTGTGAATTATTGAAACTGTCCTACCAATTTTATTTGAAACTGTCTCATTGCTATTTGTTTATCAATAAAATTATGGGAAAAAAGATTTAAAAAGAAATGGAAAAAGGGCCAAAGATGTAGTGCAGTGTGAAGGACCTGGGTTCAGTCCCCACTGTCTCCCCACACCCCAAAAGAAAGAAGGGAGAAAAAGAAAGGACAGGGAAAGGTCACCATAAAACCCAAACAAGATAACGGGGTGAAGTCATGATTATCCCAGTAAGCAATAAATGTTTCCTAAATTTTTTTATTTTTTTGTATTTAGTCAGGGTCTTCCTATGTAGATTGAACTCGTAGTGATCCACCTGTTTACAGCTTTCCAAGAGCTAGGATTACAGGCCTGCGCCACCACACCCAGTCTCAGTTGCTGTCTCAGCACACCCAGAGGGTGGAGCCAGCATGCCAGGCCCAGGAATCAGACTCCCAGTCCCCACGTCTAAGCTGATGCTTTAATCCACTGAGCTATTTGGCTGGCCTTATGGTTCCTAAATTTTAATGCCTCATAATGGCAAAAATTCTTAGGTATAGAGACTAATTTTTATAAGGATGATGAAATGTATAGAGTATCTTTCTTAGTGGTGAGTTATTGGATGCCTTTTTTCCAATTTAAGGGAAAAAATGGGATCAGAAGCATCACTTCTATTCAGCATTGTCCTGATCTCCTCAGTGATTCAAAGTGGAAGAAAAAGATTCGAACATTGGAAAAGGATTAAAATTGTTACTACAGATGATAACAACCATAAATTTGCCAAAGAAAACTGAAGACTGTTACAATAGCATATCGAGTCAATATATACAAATCAGTTATATTTATGTATAAAATATCAAACAATTTGAAAATGAAATAAGGAAACATGTTCACAATAGCAGACCCCTCAAAATCAGTGTAATAAAAATATGAGGCCACCACAGTGAGAACTAAAAATACTGACAGTGAAAACAACAAAATAGCACTGAAATAAATGACAGTTTAAATAAGAAGTATAAAGTCCATGAATTTGAAGGCTTGACGTTGTCAAGCTGTCGGTTCTTCCTAGACTCATCTATTTTCCAGTAAAAACATGTTAAGTTTAGGGGCAGGGTTAATAGACAAGCAAGTTACCTAGTGTCATGCTTTGGGTCTAGATGTACTTTCAAAGCCTCATACAGTCATAGGTAGATTTTCCAGAGGTGGCTGAATTTAAAGTGTGGTGATGCTGGAATTAAGGGTGTGTGGATTACTTTTTTTAGGGAAGGGTCTACTGCTAGATCCCTAGTAGGGTGTTCAGGGTCTCACTACTAGATCCAACTGGTAGTGATCCATCTGTTTACAGCCTCCCAAGAGCTGGGATTACAAATGTGCGCCACCATGCTTAGGCTCAACTGCATCTCAGTGTGCCCTGGAGGCAGGGCTGGCATGGCATGCCCAGGGATCAAACCCCCAGCCCCTGCACCTGCCTGCAGGCACTTTAATCCACTGAGTTATTTGGCCGGCCCTGTGTGTGATTATTACTAAATCAATCCACTGATTGGTTTCCCACTGCTCTAATCCTGGCTAAAATATTTTTTCCAGGAAATTTTTTATCTCAAAGTTTTATATGGCAGAGGGGAAAGAATACTTCCTTCAAGTTAGATGACTTTGCTCCTGAATCCTTTCTTCTGCTTTTTATTTCCACCAATCTTGTAAAACTTGGATATTAAAATTTTGTGCAAAATTATTTAATCTCATTCTTTTATTGTATAGCAGAGTTGGTAACTTCCCTTTCTCATTCCTGTGATGTGAAATGCTTGGTATGAACTGTTTTGCACCTAATGAAGTATGCAGATTTATATCTTAATCCAATGAGACAATTATGTCTAGGCTCATTAAATCCAAATGTTGAAGTCTTTTGTGAATATTGTGATAGCATTTTAGTTGCTTCATGTATGTAACAGGATAGCTGATTTCTTTTTTCAGATAACAGAAATTTGAAGTGCTTTCTAAAATCTGGAAGTGCATAAGAGCATGACTTGAATTAAAAAAGCAATTGGAATTGTGCTGACATGTCTACTTGATTTTCCTACACGTTTGGCCTATGCCTTTATAATTTTTGGTCACTTGCCTATGGCTTAACATTTAGAGAACCTTTAGCTTCCCTAAAAGGATTTCATCAGCTCTTGAGTTTTGATTAGGATATGCAGTTTTATGTGCCACCAGGAGGGAAAAGGCCACTGACAATTGTAATCATAAGCAATTGCAAGGACAATTTCAGAGATATTAATGAAGGAAAAGTACAGTTTAGAATCAGTGAAATACAATTTTTACGCAGTAGGTGCTATTTTGTTAAATTTTAGTTTTTGTAAATTGACATAACTAGCATTTTATACCTCAAAAATGTTAGAGGAACATAATTTCTTTGGTAAAAATTAAACACTTATGAAAAAATAAGACTTTACAAGGTAAAATATTTACCATTATAATTTAGTTAGTTTAAGTTGCACATTGAAGTGACCCTCACTAGCCAACTAATTTAGTGAGCATCATCAAGCCACAACTAAATTTTACTACTTTGGAATTACAGTATAAATTGTGAACATTTCTTTTTTTAAGAGGTAAAATCTTGCTATGTTCAGGCTGGCGTTGAGTTTGCAATCTTACTGCTCTGCCTCCAAGTAGCTGGGAGTACAGGTGGATATCACAGAGCCTAACCTTGAGCATTTTTAATAAATCCTGTCTTTATTTCTAATAACTCATATAGTAGGCTCTCAAGTACTTGTTGATCGGTTTAACAACTTTACTCAGTAATAACTTAGATGTATATTTGTCACCTGAAAGCAACCAGGGATCTTTCATACTTCAAAATGAAAATTTCTTCACCCCCTCAAACTTTCACCCACTTAAGACTAGTCCCAAGATTAAGACTTGTTTCTGAATCTAAGACAGGCTAGTATTTCAGGAGCTTAGTACAAGGTATTAAGGTAAATTTACTTTTTGGTTCAAAGGTGGGTAATCTTTGAAAGCTAGTTTTGCTGATTATTGATGTGAATTTTAGGCATAGTCTTATTAACTGACAAATTATGTATGCTTAATTTTATAAATGGGAAGTAGTGGGATACATAGAAAGATAGTCTTTTCTTTTTAAAATGCCTTTTCAGTTAAGATTTAGAGCATACAAGTATATTAAAAGATTAAATGAAATGAGCCAGTAGAAATAATAATGAAAAGAAATAATCACAAGTGTGGCAGGGGTTAAATCCATAGATGGAGATGGTTGTTGCTGAATTCCTGGAGATGGTAATAAAATTCCAGGAAAGGTTATGAAGCTAAAGCACTTAACTAGCAGCTACTTTTTAACACCCTTCCCCCCCACACACACACACACAGGAGATTTAACTCAGGGCCTTTACATTAAGCTGCATACCCAGCCAGTTTGTTTGTTTTGATATGTGATCCACTAAGTTACCCAGACTGGACTGAAACTTGCAATCCTTATGCCTTGTTCTCCCAAGGTGCTGGGGTTACAGGTGTGCACCACCATGACCAGTTGTTTTTTAGATTCTTAGTGTTGCTATTCTCCTTTCCTACTAGAAGCAAGACTTGTTTGGATGACAGAGCAGGCCAGACTCTCAAGGGTGCTGTCTCTGACACTTTTCCGTTCTCTTGGGCTGGTAGGCCTCAAATTGGCCCCTAGAGAACAAAGAATAAGACTACGTTTCATTGGCAACAAGAGTTGAGGAGCATCATCAGAAACCAGCAGTGTTGGAGATAGAAGCTAAAGATAAGAATGCCTATTATTAGCTATGGAATCCAGTAGGGTAGTTTTGCAACTTGTTTGACTTTGTTGACCTTCAAAATGCTGATAGAGGGCTGGGGACATAGCTCAGCGGCATAAACATCTGCCTGGTGAGCACAAGGTCTGAGTTTGAGCCCCAGTACTGGGGGGTGGTGGGAGGTGTATATGACCCTTAAAAAGATTTTCTTACGGATAAGTTTTAGAAAATTGACCATTTTATTCATTGTTCATTAGTACGAGGATGTCGTCCAGGAAAAATTGTGCAGATGACTGAAGCAGAAGTTCGGGGCTTATGTATCAAGTCTCGTGAGATCTTTCTCAGCCAGCCTATTCTTTTGGAATTAGAGGCACCACTGAAAATTTGTGGTAGGTAAATGGGCAAAGTTGGAAACAGTTCTTTGAATAATGTTTTTCTCTTGTATTTATAATGAGAGTAATATAAAGAAAATGTTCGTAACAGAATATTCATGTTTTATTAAATAAAGGGATTTAAAGCTTTTATTTGAAGCTTTTATACAACAATTAAATATTTGCTGTATTACAACATGAAAAGATTGTGGTTCATCAATAAAGGAGTCTTAGAAATAAGAAAATCACAAGACAACATGAAAAGTAAGAAGAGGTATATCTTAGAAGAAATTCGGATAACCATTAAACACAAGGGCCTCAGCCTCACAAATAATGAGTTAAAGTTCCTAACTCCAGTTACAAAAAAAGGCCAAAGATTGGTATTTAATGTCTTTAAGGATGTTAAAAAATGAAGGTTCTAGTATACTGCTTAGGAAAAAAATTTTGAAAGCCTGACAATATCCTTGGTCTTTTTACTTTGTTGTGATTGTATTTAAATCTTTAAGTTTGACTAAACTTAAAAATATAGGGCCTTAAATTCAGTGATTATCTCATTGTTGTAATAAGAAAAATGTAATTCATTATACTGCCTTATATTAAAGAATGCCAAAATTCTTCTTGCATATTTCTTGGTGATCTGCATTCATATACTATGTCATTTTCAAGTGCTTAGTGTTCTTAACAATACTTACTTTCTTTCTTAATGGTTTATTAAATTGGGTATTTGGTGCTCTTTTGTACGTTACCCAGCAACTACAAGATAAGTAATGTTTGTTGAAGGGATTAGCATTTCTTGAATGCTGAGTGATTTAGCATGAAGTACTGCCTTTAGGTGGAGACAGGAGTTTAGAATTTCCTGGAAATGATTGATCACTCTTTTATGAATTTAAATGATGCAAATGCATTGATTTATGGATGACCTTAAAATTGAAACACAGATGCTCCTCAGTTTACAGTGAGATTACGTGCCAATACCTTTCATAAATTAAAGGTATCAAAAAAAATAAAGGTATCATAATTTAAAATGTAATTCACCTGAGAGCCATAGCTTGCTGCTGTTGATGTCTAGTATCTCAAAAGAATGTTGTACCGCATAGTGATACCCCAAGAAAAGATCTAAATTCAGAGCACAGTTCCTGCCGACCACTTTGCTTTCTTATAATTGTGATGTTGAAAACCATAAGTCCCACCATTTTATATTACAGACCATCTGTTCTCTTAAAAAGGTACTCTTTTAAATGTTACATAGAAATAAGTTGAATGTAATAAAAGTTACACAAATTTTCTTTTAAAAAATATGGAACATATTAACTCCTTTTAATATGTGCTATTTCAAAGTGATAAAGGCAGTGTTGGTACTGCTTTTCAGGTTTACAAAAGTTTGATGAAATCAACATAATAGCCTCTAAAGGAAAAATGTCTAACATTTTAGAAAATGAAAGTTGAAGTAGGTAGTTCAGGCAGAACTGCTTCACACTCGAATAATAAACAATGAGTTACCAGAGAAAGAAGCTGGAGAGAAAGATTGTAAATGAGATTGAGTTATTTAGATTTATTTTTCAAAGAGAGTTAAGGGTTACTGAAAACAGAAAATGGTAAAATTGGGGTCAGTTGACCAAAATGGAGCCAGTGCTATGGAAACCCAGCAGTGCTTTTCAGATCCACTTTAAGTCCAGGCCAGATTGTATCCCTTAGCAAACTTTTAACGATATCCATGCCAGATGAAATTTCTTAGTTCTTGCTTTTTGGCATAACAGTACAACCTAAAGCTGAACTACCTTAAGAGTAACTGTGGGCTGGTGTGATGGCTCAGTGGTCTAAAGCACCTACTTGGAACAAGCTTAGCAAAGCACAGGGACCGCGGTTCAATCCCCCAGCACCACATGCCAGCCAGCCCCGCCCCCTGGTGGGCTGAGCTGGCCACACACAC